TCAAGTATTGACGAAAAACTGATTTTAATTTCACTTTGTCAATACTCAGAATGTATTCACAAAAAACCGTCAATTTCACCATCAATATCATCGATGTACAAATATTGACAACATTAATGGCAATACGTTAGAAGTCTTTTTGACCTCAATGTATTGAAGTCAATATTACTTGTCTCAATTTCCCCACACAAGAAACATGGATCAGCGAAAGAAAGTGTGTTTAGAGTTCATGTTCGGGTCCAAACAGAAACGATTGCTGAACTTGTATGTATTGAACATACTAGCTACACACTGAATTCGGTAAATTTTGCCGGGTTTTTGAACAGCTGAAAAAATTGGAAAAATTTCAAATGACCGTTACTCGAAGGAAATCAATAAAATCTACGAATTGGTTTTGTATCGTTCAAAAGAGGTTGACTTGGTCCGAACATTTTTGGTATAAATTTCCATTTTTTTTTAATTTTTCACTGATTTGTAAACTTTTACCGAACAGCTCCGTTGTTCAAAAATTACCAAACACCGGAGTCCTGGTTTAGTGGATATATATAGAAACCAACTTTCACCCAACATTTATTTATACTTGCCTTTTTCAAATTAATTTTCAGGATTTTTAGAATAAATAGTGTTAAATAATGATCTATTCCAGGTCTACTCTTAAGTTCTCAGAATGATGTAAGAACTAGGTGATTAGTTATAGCATTAGTTATAGGTATAGCATAGCATTTTTAATATCACTGAACTCTCCTGTTTTGTTAGAACAATAATGTTTACCTAATGTTACCCATACATATAGAGGGTTATTCCGAGAGTCGAAGTGATTTTTGTCACTAGTGAAGTGAGATGCAAATCAAATGGAGAGTCACGTTACCCTAGGGGCACGCAATAACCTTTAACTCTAACGCAGGCAACGGCTCTAATTAAATTAATTCCATTAACTACTGCTTTAATTACATTAATTACACAATGTAGAACATTAACTACTTTTTAACTCCATTAATTACAGTCGAAATTTCGTAATTAAAGTACATTAATTACATTGTCAATACTTTTAATTACATTAATTACGGATAGATAGTTTTAATTACCGTCAGTACTACTTCAAAACGCATTAATTACTTTAAGTACTTTTGATTACATTTTAACTTCAACGCACCGCTTCTTTGTATTGCGTGGCCCTCGACGTTACCACGACGTGACTTTTCTTACTTCACTAGATACAAAAGTCACTAAGACTCTCGGAGTAACCCCCATAATGCTTGGTTTTATCATAATGGTACACTTGTTTTATCATGATGAAAATCTTCTTATACTTTCTGGCAAACTACTTTTGATGATTAGTAAAGTCAACTAATGTGATATGTGATATAAACTGTACTAATGACCACACATATAGTTTATTAATTAACATAGGATGTCTCGTGAACGTGGGTTATTCTGCGTGAGCTGTAAATCCGCGGATTTATCATTCATATACCAAATTGTAACTTTTTGACAAGACACAGAAAATACACAGGACATGTACTTCCAAATTGATAGAATATAATCAAATCGAGTGCGCGGAATTACTACACGTGTGGAATACCCCACGTTAACGGTACGCAGTTTCCCAAATAGAAACTATCATGCTGATGTTTTGGTAAATATTCATAAATGAAAATCATGCATATAATAATTAATTTACGGTACATAGTAGGTACCGTTCCGATTCAAATTTCGGACGATTCAAATTTTGGACACTTTCATTTTAAATTAAATATTACATCCAGTTAGAAACAAAGTAATAATGTTAGATGATCGTGGAGGGCACTAGTCAAAAAAATTTACAATTTACAAGACATGTGGATCATATTCGACCGAGATAATCAACTTTTAAAAGTGTCCGAAATTCGAGTTTAAGTGTCCGAAATTTGAATCGGCACGGTATACGCTGATAGTATTTATTTTATTTTAAAGTAAAAAAATAACCCCCCTTATTCTGCGAGTCACGTGACTCTCTGTCACCGGTGAGGTGACAATTGTCACCTCGTGTGAGGTGACCCTCCATGTAAATCAAATGGAGAGTCACCTCACACGAGGTGACTATTGTCACCTCACCGGTGACAGAGAGTCACGTGACTCGCAGAATAGGGGGGAACATGATTATGCTAGTGCTTTGGTAGAAAATGTACATCGATATAAACGAAGCCTGGGTGATTGGTGACTGTAAAAAGATACATTTTGACGTAGAACTACGTCTTTGTCGACTATACTGGGGTGCAAATCAAAAAATATGTGTGGTGAAGGAGTGTTAGATTTTGAACGCTTGTAACTTTATCATTTATAGATGAAATTTAAATCTAAATACGCCAATCGATAGAATATTACATTACAAACCTGCTGAAATAAATATTTTTCCAATTTTGCTGTAATTAAACTTTTGAAAATGTACAAATGATAATTTTATCACTGTTTTCATGAAATTAGCCTTTTTCCCAAACCCAGTCATTATAAAAGAATACCACTTGGTTGCACATCATTCTGCTTGAAACTGAAAAGATATAAAACAGCGCTGCTCTGCTGCCTCTGTTCATTACCGCTTCGGACGGCGTGGCACTAGGTCCTGCAGCAAGCAGGACCAAGTCAGCTGCTCAAGGTGGATCACGGCGTGTCCACCACAATGAGTAATGAGACTTGAAAAAACGTGCCTGTAAAACTCCCTCCCCCTTAACATAACCCGAAAAAGACATGGACTTTGACTATCATTTTTTCCGGGAAATAAATTTTAAGCAAACCACAATTATGTTTACCTACATTTAATTTTTTACATACAGAGCCAACATTTTCAAAAAAAAAAAATTGTTTAACAGAAGGCATACACTCGATGAATTACCAACAACTGACTGTAAAACATATCAGGTACCTCTATACATAAAATTATATTAACATCCAAAGTCCATCCTTTTTTCCATATTCTGCACAAAAGAAACGTTCTGCCCCGTCCCCATTCATAATAAAATGGCGGGAAATCCTGTCAGTTGTGGGGCTTAGAAAGTATGTTTTGTGCAGAATATGAAAAAAGGAGGGACTTCAGATGTATTTTTTCTGCAAAATATGTAAAAAAGGAGGGACGTCGGATGTTAGCCTAAATGCATATATCATGCATCATAGATAGAGATCGATAGATAGGTTCTACGTCATACTGCGGTCGTGTCTAGGACACAACCATTGAATTTTTTTATTTAGTTTGAAATGGATTGCATATCACACACGAACATTTAAACAAATGGCAACACTGCATATCTCGCTGCATGCGCGAAGGTGCTTGTGAGTCAGTCGATCTAAATGACATACGTTCTCCCTCCTCTTGGGTAGGGGAAGAATATTGACAAAGAGAAATGAAAATCAGTTGTTCAACAATACTCGTCATCAATCCATCGTCATCAATATTACATTTTCAATAATATTGTCAGTATGTCAATTTTCTGTCAATATATTGACCCGTGTAACGAGCGCTTTAGCGTATTGTCATTAATGTTGTCAATATTTATGTATTGATAATATTGTAAGGAAAATTGACAATACGATGTTTGTCAATATATTGACATGTGTAATGGGCGCTTAACAAAACTCACCAGCTGCAAATCTCACAAATTGATTGGTGAGATTGAATTACATGATTTTGGCTTTACACCCGAACGCAACCGAAACATCCATAACGGCTGGCAGCAGTCACTTCGTGTCTGCCATCGGTGAAGAGAAAAGAGAGATATCATTATTATACCTTCTCTTTCTAAGAAAACGAGGTGCAACGGAATCATTTTTGCGTCGATTCAGCTCACAGCTTGATTTTTGCACGTTGTGAATATTCTCGCAACATCAAAGGAGCTTGTAAAATCAATATCAAGCATTATATTTTGCTCCAATATCACGCGTGATATTGGGAGCGTATGAGAGCGGAATAATATCAATTTGCTAATGATTATGCCATAACTGCTTGTCACTATCAACAAGGCATAAACAGTAAAAAGGACTAAGATATCAGTTATAACCAAAGTACGCCCACGCAAACCAATACCACTTTTGGAAAGGTGATAGTTGCCCCTATCAGATGATGTTGTTGGTTTGCGTGGGCGTACTTTGGTTCGCGTGTAAAGGGCCTTAGAAAGTTTGTTTACAAATGCTTTTGTGCCGTTATCAAATGTTATGCCTGATATATTCCTTTGATTACAAAAATAATCCTGTTTCCCTAGTTTGAAGTAGTTCGAACCAGGCTTCGGTGGTAGATCTTAATGCCAGTAACGTACTTTCCTTTATTTAACATCGGTCTCTGTTCCGAAATCTAGTGCCAATCACCGACGGACATCGATTGTCATCCATTGACGGCAATCGAATGTGCAGGAAGGCAGCTTCCACATCTGCGTTGGATATCGCACCCATTCAACACACTTGGGCCGGGACCAACGGCTTTACTTCCCTTCCGAAGGAAGACGTGACCAGAGATTTTTATACCTCAGAAAAATCCCACCGACCTCGGCTGGGATTGAACCCAGACCCATTGGGGTGAGAAAGCAGTCACGCTTACCACTACACCATCGGCGCCGGCCTACGAAAAGGTAATGTACCAGGCGTTACTGGGCAAAGCCTTAATTATGCAATATTTTTGCCTGTGTGGTGCTTGGTATAAAAAAGAGGTATGTCTTCTTTTTCTTTGGCTTTATAACGTCCCCACTAGGATTTTACGCCGTCTCTCAAGAGTCAGTGTTCTTTTTAAAATATCCCACAGTTGTTAATTAAGAGCTTTCTAAGCATGTGTCATTTAAGTATTAGTATTAATTGTGGGGCAATTACAATCATACTCTATGCCCAGGGAAGTTAAGAAATTTTGCAATCCGAAAAAAAATCCAAGGCCGGACCGGGATTCGAACCCAGCCGCCACCAGCAAGGTCTTGCTTTATAGCTGCGCATTTACCGACTGAGTTAAGGGAGGCCCATGAAATAATATAGAATTCACTTTTCCTTACCACAAACTGCAGAATCCGTTCAACATTGCCAGGATGTGATAATAGGCAAATGTATGGGTCAGCTGGAAGTCCGGCTGCAAGTAGTGCTGGGACAGAATGATCGCAATACTCAACGACCAGGAAACGACACACAACGCCCACGTGATGGGGTACAGTTTTGGAAACACTATCGGCTTTCCGGTGACCATCAGGTACTTGTACTGATAATCGGTCCACATGTTCTTGAACTTGGCCACTTCGGACCCGTTCCGCCATGATGCGATAGGTAGCAGGAAGTGCGGAACCAAGATGCTCATGAAGATGATGTTGTAGATGACCTCGTCGAACCGTTTGTCGCTGGTCGAGATGAATCGGTTGATGCGCTCCTTCGCTACCAGCACCACCAGGACTGTTTCGCAAGCGTAGATTACGTACGCCCAAATGAAGGCTTTCGAGCACCAGGTGAACGTAGTGCGGGGCATGTTGACTCCTGCATGGGGATGCGGCGTTCAATTTAGTAAGTTATGACGAGAATAAATCTACCGACCTTTAGGACTTCTCATGATCGGCATAACTCCCATTATTTGAAACAGCACCAGGAGGCTTCTTGTGGTGTGATAGAAGGAGTCGTGTTTGTCCAGCAGATTTACATCGGCTTGGAATTCCAGTTTTCGGATGTACATGTGGGTTGGTGATGCATTATCTGGAATAGGCAATGTAATAGTTTCTAGCAAGTTAATATTTTGTGAATAATTTTATACGATCTATCGATCTACACTGCTTTCAAACAACAAACTAATAGTTAACCAACTTTTCGATTGTTTCCTAACTATTCCTTCCTTTATTTTTTTTTTGCTTCATAAAGTATCAAACTTAACCCTCAACATCTCAATCACTCAATTAACAATCCATCCAAAGCACAATCATGATTGAAATTTATAATACCTTTTTGCAACTGCTGCATCTGCTCTTTGATGCGGCGATTATCTTCCAGTTGTTGGCGTTGGTTCGGATTCAAAATCTGCTGCCGTATCTGGTACTGCGAATCTTCCATCTGGGTGTGAATCATTTTGGCGCTGAAGTTGCTTTATTCGGGTATAGTCTCGCCCGCTTAGTCACGTGTTTCGTATTTACAGAGAACGCGGTTAACTTTAATGATTTCTATTCCGCGATTTCCAACTCTATGTGGATTTCAATTTAAGCTATAATCCAAATGGTCTATTAGTATCACTCTGATGGCGGGAGCTGGCTGCGTTGATGGAGAATTTATTCTCTGTGTTGCCACTTTGTTTCACGCGCACGAGAAGTTTTTGCTTATTTTTATAGTACCAGTTCCAATTACTTCCAGAATTTGTATATTTCTTTTACCCACTACTGTGGGTTATAGTTGTGCAATCAATTTGCCAGCCTTTGTGGCTTGCAATTCCTCAGGGTGGGATGGTACTGTGTGGACACTGATGAACGTAAACTGTGTGTGCGCTTCTGGAGTATGGCTTTATAGTACAGCTGAGGCAGAGGAAGGTCGTTAAAGACTTATGAGCTAACATTGTTTTTTGTTTGTTCTTGATTCAAAATTAATTCGCTTCGGTTTATCTATTATTGATGGGCGGCTATAACGTAGTGGGGGGGAGATCTATGACATGAGTGACTAGTGATGGGATGGAAGATGGAATTAATTTATGATGGCAGTTGTATCTTTAGCATTGTTGGCTTTGGCGAAATGCTTTTTCTCTGGCACTGAGGGACGGTCAGTAGGTCACTTTAAAGCAGTTTGTGTGCAAAATGCACAGATGATTGTCTTATTTACGAAGCGTTGGGGGTCTGTGACTGCTTTCGGTTTCTAATACTATGAATCCAGATTATAATCTGATAGGGTAAATGACGGATACGGCACTACCTTTACGCTTTACCCATTATCTTCAGGGGAGTAAGCCTTGAGCCACATAACATATGCAAAACTTCTAGCTAGATGTCTTTTGAAAAGTAAAGTCTTTTAACTATCCTTACTTTGTTATAACTGGCATAACTGAACATTGACATGTCAAAATAGAAAAAAAAAAGATGATTGAACTAAAATTAAATTCAAGGAACCGAGATTTGAAAACATTTTGGAAAGATGCTAAAAGTGCTGTCATTTCAGCGAATTCTGAATAATTTTCCAATAGCTTAATATCACGGACGAACATGAAATTATTTGATTGTGGACGAGTACGATTATTATTGCTTCATTATTATTCGAAATGTATGGCTTGTCATTCATATTAATTATCTCCGTACATCAATAGTGTCTCTCAAACTCAATAGTGTCTAGTGACATTTTATAATGTTTGAAGAAATGGATGTCTCCCATAAACACACAGTTCCTAACTTTATAGCTAGAGATTTTTTTATTCCTGTGGATCATGCTATTACAGCTCTTCTTCCATCTCGGTTAGTACTGTCGCATTTGCTAAAAAATCCACGCGGCCTTTCCCATTTTATGAGGAAATCCGCGGCTTAAGAAAGGCCGTGCTAGTTTAGAGTCATAGCACACCTCAATCTGTGCCGATAGCTTTCGCTGTGCCGAAAGCTACGTCAATCGCTTTGCCGAAGCGCGTCAATCAAGTATTCCATGAGTTTGGCAACCCTGAAGATTTAATGACTTTGTGATTGTGCAAAAAAACGAAGCGTGATAAAAATAAATTTATGTATGCAGCCTAAAATAACTGCTGCAGCATGGAAATTTCACCAGAATAAGCAAACCAAACCAAATCGGTTCCAAGAAGACTGATTGTAGCCCTGGTGCATGCCGGTTCCTTAGCTATACTCCGTCGGATGAATTCCGGAAAACTGGATGTGGTTCTTCATCCGTGGCATTGACTGTGGAAGAATACATCAACGATAACAACTGCGAAGTGGAGGTGGAACTGTTCAATCGTCTGCAAGCGGAGGACGGCTACATGAAGATTAGCGGGGATAAAAAATAAAATTTATCGATTTCCTCGAGGTGAATAACTTCGCGCTTTCGAATGTTTTTCTGTTGTATGCCAAGGGGATGTTTCGAAGGGGTTAAGGATCGGGTTTAGCTTGTTGCAATGTATTAAGGTATACCTTGATGTAACGTAACTGTCACTTTTGAGTTTCATCGCTGATTTCTAGCTAGCAACCCTGTAGCGTCCTTTCTCGTGTTACACTTCGCAATTTCACATGTTAAAATAATAAGGTGTCTGTGAATGCACGTAGCTGAAACTACTAATTAATCATGTTTTGTTGTTTTTGACATCATCCACATCCAGAGGGCCATTCACTTTCGAATGTATGGGAATGGTAGGAAACCATTTGGAAATGCATGAAAATTTTCAGTTTTTATTCATTATCGTCTTTATGGGCAGTTTTATATGCACAAAAATTGCACGAGTACATTACTATGGTGATCAGCATGTTTAGTCACTAATCGTGGATTTTCTGATATTCTCCATACTGCAAAAATGATTTTCCTAGTTTTCCTACCACTGAAGGGGTGAAATCTCTCGGATCTGCAGTATAGCTACTACTCAAATCATATAATTAATTGTTGTTCGCTGCGGAGAAGCAAGCAATGTCTGAAAATTACAGATGTATATACGTCATAGATCCTGAGTTGTGTGCTCTTGTAATTGCGAGGTGTGATGGGAAAATGGACTCTACAAAGAAACACCAAATCAAGCAATGTAATAACACCATCGAAGATATGAGACAATCCTCCATCTATTGTTCAATCAAATTTGAATAATTCTTCGATGCAATCGATGTAAATATTTACATTCCCCTTTATTCTGCGCCGCGAGTGAGGTGAGGTGACTCGCTGTCACTAGTGAGGTGACAAAAGTCACCGCGAGTGAGGTGACACTCCATTTGATTTGCACGGAGAGTCACCTCACTCGCGGTGACTTTTGTCACCTCACTAGTGACAGCGAGTCACCTCACCTCACTCGCGGCGCAGAATAAGGGGGATTATTTGACCAATCTCAGGTAATGATGACAGCAGTTGGTCTCTTTTCTACATTCATATTGTTTTCAATAGTCAAACGTCATGATTATCTGGGTTTTTAAGGTAAATATTACATTGTTTGCACCAAAGAATTGAACTGTTATTTGTGAGATATTGATGATGGAAGTCAAAAGTAACAGTTACTTTATATTGAGGTATACCTGTATTATTAGACAAACAAAACATAACACAATGTTTAAAGAAAGCCTATCTAATATGTCGAATACGGCACAATAGGGTATCATAAACAGGATGAGCTACCGGTGGCTATGAAGATCGCTCATCCGAGAAGGATGATTTGTATGAAGCTATGTATTTGACCACCATGCCTGTGGAATGGACTCATGTAAACCGTGATTTCCGATATTGTCGCTACCGGAAACGGCAAGCAATTGTTGTAATCACGTTGGTTGCAAAAATGGATGACCCTGAGGGTGATCTAGTTATTGCTGTTGCTGGTTATGATTTCGGCGTTGCTATTTATCACCACACTTTAACAATTCTTGCAGGGAATTAGACGAAGTACGGCTGCAGGAGAGATCCGAGCAAAGTCCTATAGGTTTGACTTCTAATCCGGGATACGATCGTCTAGTCCGATGGATTTATTAAATTCATCTTGAAGCGAAGATCAGAGACTGTCAATAAAGTGCGAAACCTTAGCAACTATTGGAAAATCGTCAGCAAAAAACATTGATGCCGTTTTATAATATACATATTCTGTGTGATTCTTGTCAATTTGTGCGAGCCGAGCAGTGTGCCGTGACGTATTTCAGCACAGTGTGCAGAGTTGATTACCCCTTGCATAGCAACCATGTTTATTTACTATGAATTACAGCATTGTTTTCATTTGCAATCCCTGCTAGTTGAGTTGCAAAGTGGCACGGATCTTGCAATTCCGTGGTATGACCAGGAAGAAAATTGAACGCCTTACAATCCAGATTAGGTCTAGTGATATTTTAAAATTTGTTGATGAACTAAGTGCAATCAGATGGGGTTTGCATGTAAATTCCTGATGCTTTTTTCATATTGAATCAATGGCACTTTTAACCGGCTAAAATGTTTTGATTGTGTAAAGAAAATCGCACACAAAGGAACAGTGACGATTGCAGGGTTGCACAGTTTAATCTTGCCATAATAAGGAACCGTAGGTTATGGCAAGTCCTGTACTGACTTCTAATCACACATCACGTCACTTGCAAGGAATCAGTAATTCAATCAGTCAGAATCTTGCAGTTTCTCTTACACCTCCGAAAAATAAAATTTAAACACAATCAAAAATGTCATTATAAGTTCAGGGTTGCCAAAATCGTCAGATATTGAGACCTTGATCGGCACACTTCGGCCTACTTCGGCACGCTCGGCATAGTGCTTGGGACAACTTTCGGAACAGCTAAATCTTTCCCCACAGTTGGTCCCGGACCACGTGTGTTGAATGGGTGCAATATCTTACGCAGATGTGGAAGCTGCCTTCCTACACATTCGATTGCCGTCAATGGATGGCAATCGATGTCCTTCGGTGATTGGCACTAGATTGTGGAATAGAGATCGACGTTAAATAAAGTTACATAATTTCTGGATGATAATTCAAGTTTGCTTCCAAAATAAGGGGAAATTGGGCAAATTGGACCATCACCATTCGATTTTCCACATTTTTTTTTCACATAAGATGAGCTATTTATCAGGACTGCTACCCTGCGCCGTCTAATTAAGTGGGATTTTGGGTCAATTTTTCCCCACTGTACACCGTCTCCAGTATGAGTTTTCTTTAAAGCCGTGGGTAGGCCTAGAAAGCGCTCACCAACTGAGTGGTCAAGTATTCCTTGGATTGGTAAGTTCTTATTTTAGTTGTCATCCGATAATTTTGGATCTCAGGATGAACTCTCCCGATGCCAACGATATGGATGACCAGCAGGAAGATTGTGTCACCCACGAGCACAATTGTTCTTTGCGAGGTAAAACTTTAACCATCGTAATCGCTGGATTTCATAGCACATGCTTTTTCTATCCAGATGAACCACATTTCCTACTGAGTCGTTTCAAGTCTCGCAAAAGTCTGGCCTTTCGCATTCGTCGGTGGTTTCTCATCGATGCCAACCATCCACAGACGAGGCGGTTCTACCGTTCGAGCTACCTCTACCGGACGGAGCTGATTCGGCACATCAAAAGCGATTATTGGTACATCATCCATCCGTTCAGCAAGTTCCGGTTCTTCTGGGATTGTTGGATGTTGTTCTACATCTATGCAATACTGTTGGTTATACCGTTGACGGTCGGTTTTGCCGCCGCTTTGAGAACCGGTCACTACATCTACATTACATCGGCAACGGTTAATGTGTTGGCCAGTTTTGAAGTTATGGTTAACTGTCTGACTGGATTCTCGCGTAATAAGTATTACAGGAATATTCACTTGAATCCGACGGAGATCTTTGTGAACTATTTGAAGAGGACATTTATGATCGATTTCTTATTTGCCTTTCCCTTGAGCTTATTGGCTAAGGTGTTCATCCGGGATAGTTCGGAAAAGTGGCTGCTGAGAGCTTTTGATGTGGCCAATGTACTGTTGATTCTCAAATTAATATCCGTGAGATTGATTTGGAGCTATCTGATGAATATATTTGAGGTTAGATGGTAGTTTGGTGGACTGATTCAATGGATAACATAATTTTATATTTTGCAGCGTTACAAATTGAACATGATCTACTATTACGTGATTCGATTGACACTTGTGTCCGGACTGTTTGTCCATTGGTGCATTTGCGTATACAAATTAGGAGTTGTGATGGTCGATAATGTAAGATTATTCAATATATTACGGACAACAGCAGATATGTAATTACGCCGTTTTCAGCCCGAGTTCGGCATTGATCCACCCTGGGATGAACATGTGAAGTACCTCCGCAACATGGATAACGGAATGTTGGCTCGCTATGGGAAGTGTTTCACATCAGTCTTGTTCTACTTATTTGTCCTGAGTTTTGGTGAGCTGGGTATCCCGAAAACCGTACACGGAAAAATATTGGCATCCATCTGTATAGTGGTGGGAATTTGTTTTCAAACGTATTTGTTTCGTAAGTTAAATTCATTCGTATGTACCTTCTATGGGGAAATTTGTTTCATAGTTCAACATTTCATAGTTCAATTTTTCAAACTGATCACAATTATGAGTTCATCCAAAAGAAAGTACGCCGAAGCGATTAGTCAACTGAAGGCCTATATGGCAATGAAGCAGTTCCCTCGGGAAATGAAAAATCGATTAATGTACTACTACGAGAAGAAATTCGAAAAATGTTACTTTGAGGAGGATAAGATTATAGAAGCATTTTCAGGTACCTATCTACTTATATTTATAATGGTAATTATCTCCACCAATACTATCTAATTCCTTCCCCCAACAGAACCCTTGAGAAATCAAATCACCGACCATAGCGCCGTACGATTCTACGAGAATGTTCCGATTTTCCGTGGAATACCGCAGCACATGTTGCTTCTTTTGGCACGTAATATGGAGAAGGAAATTTACCTGCCAAACGATATGGTGCGTGCTGAGTGAAATCATCCAAAGATGGATTTCCCAAAAGATTTCTACCCTTCCATTTCGTATCATTCGGTACATTTTTCTCATTACAGATAATGAAAGCCGGAACCGTGGGGATTGCAATGTACTTCATCTACACTGGATCGGTTGCTGTCTATACTCAGTCAGGCAAGGAGACGGGGCACTTGCATGACGGGGACCATTTTGGTGAAATTTCACTTTTTCTCAAGAATAAGGTAGGACTTAGATCTCCACCCTTTGCCTCTATTTTTCGAGTGCTTTTTTCACAAAATGGAATTGGTTCACACCAGATGACTTTACCTTTCCGAACGTACCGTAAGATTTGATAATGCTCCCATCCAGAGTTATGTACTTTGACTATATGTTTTAGTAACTATATGACTATGTAAAATCGTTGACTTCACGTAGAAGTAATACTAAAACATATAGTCAAAGTAAATAACTCTGGATGGGAGCATACCATCAATTACTGTCAATGGTCGAAAGGTACAGTAGCAGCACCTACCCCACCCGTGTCCCCTCGAGAGATCGTCAAGTCGACGATGACAGGAGCACATATCGTGGTAGGGGTAAACAATAGTTGCAATTTCCAAACCTACGACTGGATGCCTTCCTTCAAATAACAACTGAAGTGCGGTAAAAAATCGGTAGAACTGTTTCAAACACACAGTTGGTACTTGAGCGGGTCGGTTTTCATCTCTTTTTGCCAGTGGAGGCGGGGGGAGGACACCCCTCACCATCCCTCTCTAAAGGGGGAGTTTGGTAAAGAGAGATGAAAAAACCGATTTGTACCTTCCTTAAAAGTTGTCCTAGCTCACTATTCTACTATCCTCTACTATCTACAATTTTCACACTGCCGTACTCTAACGGAACTATCAACTCTATACTTTCATCTACTCCATCTATCGTATAAAAATTACCACTACAGTCTGTTATTTGAAATTAGCACCTTCAACTATGTAAAATCGTTGACTTCACGTAGAAGTAATACTAAAACATATAGTCAAAGAAACACATTGTTGAGATATTGTTAAAAATCTAACACTGCTTCTTGGCCCCAAACTCGGCCTACGGATTCTAAATTCGGTCTAACGCATTGAAACGCCATTTAAACGCCATTGGATTCAGTTCGGCCTATCAGATGAAGATAGTTTTGTTTTTGAGAATAATGGGGGCAAACATTCATATCACGTGTTTTCATTTACTTTGCTCGGTAGCTTTTGAACTAAAGTATCGTACCAATCGCATACATGACTTGTTAACTCTGAAATTATGGATTTATTTGATGTTTTCTGCTCGACAGGCCCGATTAGGCCGAAGTAGTTTGCTACCCTATGTTGAGACGAAGTTAAAAAAAGAGTTGGTGCTAGTTTTGTCCCTGTTGGGTACATTTCCTACTTTTTTTTTATATTTATTTAAGAGATTTTTAGCCATAGGCTAGTTCATCTACATTTTCTACTGCGACCAGTTGTTTGATCAATTGTGGTGGGTCCCTATTTAATGTATGCCACATCAGGGTGCTGCATAACTATTAGATTGAGTGGTGTCTACAGTTAAATTGCACCAGTAAAAAAGCTGTATGTTGCCATTGAATTAATTTTTATGAAATTTTGGGTGAGATGGCCTCAGCGTGTAATGTTTATACTGCGTGAGTTTCATTGTGAAATTTCTAATAGTTTTTAAAATAGAGTCGAAGGAACAGCGCGTGCTCGAGCAAATTTTGCACACTCGCACCTCAGCAACCCACATCTTTCGCACCGAGCCATCGGAAAGATGTTGGGAACCCAACAATCTACTGTTTTTCGTGTCATAAAACGTTTCGGGGATCGTTTAACCGTCGATCGGAAGCAAGTGATTGCAAGAAAAAGTGTTCCGTACTGCGTTGAAGATCACAAGCGAGTGGTTGCTGCCTTCAAACGCAAACCCAACTATTCCGTTCGGGATGTCGCGAAAAAGCTGCGCCTGTCAAAAAGTTTCGTGCAGAAAGCTAAGAAACGAGCAGGACTACGTTCATTTATGGTGCAGAAAGCACCAAACCGCAATGAATGACAGAATAGGACAGCTAGAACGCGGGCACGTAAGCTGTACACACAAATGTTGACAAAACCACAGTGCTAGCGGCGCCGGTGGTGTAGTGGTAAGCGTGATTACCTCTCATCCCAGCAGACCTGGGTTCAATCCCAGTCGGCGCTGCCGGGATGTTCTGAGGCATAACATCTCTGATCACGCCTTCCTTCGGAAGGGAAGTAAAGCCGTTGGTCCCCGGTTCATGAGTTGATGGGTCGATATGTAGGGTCCAGGTGTGGGAGCTGCCTCCCTGGCGTCGGTAGCATTGGTGCTAAGCACGGAAAACAATATCGACGGAAAAAAAGATCGACGGAAAAAGAAACCACAGTGCTGTAACATGAACGACGAAACATAGTATTAAATTCCCTGAAAATTTCATGACAATCGGTTGAGAGACTTATTTTTAGCGAGTATTTCTAAGTGATGCAATTTTCCAACAAATAATTAAAGGCTAAACAAGCTAGTTTTTAGCTTAATAATTATATTTTCGTCTGAATAAGCTCTTATTCTGCTTCTAATGTTTGTTGGGTTAACTGTGGACACCCTCTATCCTAGTAAGGAGCAATTCTACAAGCAGAGAAATGATTTTTAAATTTAAATGGATATATTTTTGGCTCAGAGCCTAATATATTTTTGGTATTGATTCAAATATATTATTCGGTTAATTAAAAAAAAATATTTTTGAATCAACAAACCGGTTGTAGAGTCAATAATCTGTTTGTTGATTTTAAAAACTATTTTGTTGATTCAAAAATATGTTTTGTTGAAATAGTGATACAATATGTTTGAATCAATAACAAAATACATTAGGCCCTGAAACAAAAATCAATTTTTCTGCGTGTAGGCCAAACAGCAAAAAAAAAATTGCTCGACCTTCTCTTGCATAATTATTTTTTATTGGCAATCATTCACCTTTTTGCTAAAATTTTGCCATTTTAGATCTTGTTAATTTTTCAAAATGACGCCTTTGAAATTTTTCAATTAATTGTATCACGAAAAGTTAGTGCTGATCAAAATGACGTCTGAGTCAAAATTGTAGAGAAACAAAGTCTGTCTAGGAAAATATACAAAGAAAATTTATTTTATAATTTTGAGTAAAAATTCTAAAACAGTGTTAAAGACTTGCATATCTCAAAACGTCCTGTTTTTATTAAAATGTAAACTTTTGAAATATTAAACACTCCGGACACTTAAAAATTAATCGTAGAACAACAACTTTTGATCATAGTATTTTTTAACTTTTCAGTACGCTTTTTATGTTGTTTTTTTCACAGAAAACGATTTAAAATGTGTCAGGTATTGTTTCCTGTCGCAAGTTTAAAATTTTTAACAAAAGCTGTTGTTCTACAATTTTCTGTAAATTTTTAGGTGTCCATGGTGTTGATTTTCAAAAAATTTTAAGTTTACATTTTTAATGAGATTTTTGTTTAATAAATATTGTTGAACAAAGACAGAAAGAAAGACTTTTTTTCTACAGTTTTATATCAGACGACATTTCGATCAGAAGTGATGTTTTCGTACTATAATTTATTGAAAAATGTCAAAGACTCCATTAAAAAAAAATAATACCATGGAAAAAATTGCCGAATTTTAGTAATAATTTCAACGATTGCCCATAACAAACAATTATGCAATGTTTCATTCAAATCGAAGAAGTTCGAGTCTGATCGATTCGTCATCGGGCGTGTAACTGATTTATGGCATTATAGAACGAATACAGTTTAGAGTAGGCAAAAATCGAATAAAAATTTATGTTTGAGTCAACCTTCTCCGATTTGTAGAAGTTTTGAAGCTAACGCATGTCCGCATAGACAGATAGGCAGAAAGAAGTGTACTATGAATAATGGATGAGGTGCGGCAAATACATTTGTGAAAATATCTTTTTGAGATATTTGTAGTCAGTTTTGTCTGTAGTTAATATTTTATTTTTTCCCTGTAACTATCGCAAATAATAGTTATTCAATAATAAGTAATTCAGTCATATATTCAGTAAAACATTTACGAATAACTTTAATTTGGATACCTAAGAATTTGACAGAAACAGTAGCAAGAATACAATGCCTAGGAAAATATCGATACGTTGTTCAGGGTTGTAGTTGATTTTGAACAGTGGCCATGGACAAAAGACATTTAATTGGAGTGGATTTTGGTTCAGAATTCGGGCTGCTATTTTGAGCAGTTGCATAAAGTTAGAAATAATATTTTGGTATTATTCAACAAATGTGGGCACAGTACTTGTGTGGAACTTTTGTTCAAAACTAATTTATCATTCTCGTAACCGTATAAATGGATTTGATAGAAAACGTTTAAAACTTATCCGATCGTCCTCACTGGTTTTCGGACTGCCTTTTACAGAACACTGCATTTTTTACCAATATTCTACACCAAAACCTTGCTCAGATACTCGAAAGTAAACAATACAACGAACAAACGAACCTGAACGAACTGCTGAAGGAAGAATGTAAACAAGCTTTATAAGAGTCATGTGTGTAGGTACACTCCCAACGTGTGTGATGTCCTTAGTCGATAGTTGGTGGTTCTCTGTGAAGATGTGTTCTGCAACCTTTGATTTGAAATCATATGTTAGGCCTTTTTCCTCTTGCTTTTTGGCCTTATTAACCTCCGCTATATGTTCTTTAAATCTAGTTGCTAAAGTTCTCTTGGTTTGTCCTACATATACTTTGTTACAATGATTACAGCTAATTTTATATACACCTGCTTTACCTAAAACATTAACTGGGTCTTTAGTGGATCCAAACAATGATTTCAACTGTTTATGTCTACTGGTGAAAACTAAATCTAATCCGAATTGTTTTAACTGTGGTCTTAGCTTACAAGTAATATCTTGATCAAATGGAAGTTGTAAATTTAATTGATGTTGCAGAGAGCCTCGAGATAAACAAACAACGTAATTCAACTTTACTCAACAGGGATCAAGGAAACGGACACACATGGCTTTTCAAGTTACTACCTAGGACACATCAACGAGTAAGCAGCGGAGTACCTGTTCCTACAGGAAATTAAATTTAAGTTTACCTAGTTTCTAAGTGAAAATGTACCTGTTTTAATATATATTTGGTAAATGCGATGTTTTTCTTCAGTCGAGTATTAGTACAAGACACTGAAGAAGTCTGCACATTGTAGACGA